CAACGCGCCGTCGTGCCCTGTGTAGTAACGTGGCTGCTGCGATGGCCGCAGTGTCGACGTGTAAGAAGGTGTAAGGCACATGCTCCTGCTGCAGTGCTCTTGGGTGACCTCTAACTGCAGAGGGGTGCAGCCCACCCTGGCCTCCACCATGTTGGAGTTGTAAACTTGGTGTCATTCTCTTGTTTTGCTGCAGTGAGCGCTCACATGAGAGGGATGTCATCCCCAGGCATGGGCACCCCCAGTGACCCCCTCCTGACCAGTCCAGGGGGGAGGTTGTCCACAGCTCAGGAAGGGATCTGGAGATGCTCGCTCCCCAAAACCGCCAGCTTCCCAACATCCACCACTCGCCACCTCAGTCACCGGGCCAACAACTTCCAAAGACAGCCGAAGCGGCGGAAGCTGATACGTCCCTCTCCTCCCCCACCTCCCAACACACCCTGTCCTCTGGACCAGCTGGACCTCAGTGAACTTCCCCCCAGACGGACCTTCCAGGAGCTGCTCTTCAACGGCTGCATCCTCTTTGGTATCGAGTTCAGCTACGCCATGGAGACGGCGTACGTGACTCCAGTGCTGCTCCAGATGGGTCTGCCGGATCAGTTCTACAGTTTGGTCTGGTTCATCAGCCCCATACTGGGTAAGAGCACACACCAGGGGGGTCACGCAGTCCCCTCCGGCTCCTCACTTCCTTTTCCTGTCCGTCTCTTCATTAGGGTTCCTGGTCCAGCCTCTGATTGGAGCGTGGAGTGATCGGTGTACGTCCAGGTTTGGGCGGAGGAGACCGTTCATATTCGCCCTGGCCATAGGTGAGAAACGTCAGAAGAAGGAGTGGAAGGAGAGACTGACAGATGGTGAACAAACTGTGGCCATGGATGTGGTTTCTATGACAACCGTACATTCAACTTTGTCATTTTACACTGCTGAACAAACTCATCATGTCTTTATACAGATGTAAATCTACAGTATACATTATAGATATATGTACGTTTAAACACGAGTGTCATGTAAAGAAGTGACTTCTTTACTTTCCGTATCTTTAAAGAGAGGCTCTGAAGTTTATCTTGGAATTCTTTGTAAACTGAGAACATGTAGCTCGCTATCCTCTCCAGAAGGGGGCGCCGTGAACGCATTTGAAAGCTGCAACTCCATTAATGAGGTGTGCTGCTACAACACTGTTGTGTGAACACTGATATGTGAGGTCACACTGCGTCCACTCTCACAGGCGCTCTGGTCGGTCTCACCCTGGTGTTAAATGGGAGGGACATCGGGGGGGCCCTCCACGACACGGCTTCAAATCACAAATGGGGGATCATCCTGACAGTGTGTGGTGTGGTTTTAATGGACTTCAGTGCCGACTCAGCTGATAACCCCAGCCATGCCTACATGATGGACGTGTGCAGCCCAGAGGACCAGGACAGAGGCCTGAATATCCACGCCCTGCTGGCAGGTCAGCTGAAAGACAAGCATCTGTCTACTGTACTGTACTGTACTGTACTGGACTGTACTGTAGTGGACTGGACTGTACTGTACTG